CCACCCAGGTCTACACCAGGTGATCTATCCATGGGGTTTACCACCTTCTTTGAAGAAACAATAAAAGAACCATAAATAGCATTTATAAGTATGTTATGAATCATATGCAGGATTAAAGACTCTTCACATGAAACAATGTAGAAAACAGTTGGCAAGAGAGGAAAGCAGATGAGACAGAGATGGAAGATACAGGGCGAGGCCGCCTCTTGGAAAGATGGCGGACTTGGAAAAAACATAAGGATAATATACTGCACTTTAAAAGGCCAACTCCACTCAAAAACAACACTGCAGACTTGTATGTGTACTGGTATGCTGAATCACATGCTGGGTTCTTATGGATTCCAGTAATGGGAGTTCCTCACCATACCAGTCCTGTCCAACAGCCGCATTACAAAGCCAAATGATGGATCCAACGGTGAGAGAGGTACTCCTTCATTGTGGCCTTGTATAGGGGAGAAGACACAAACAACTTCCGCTTCCAGGAGGTATAAGAAGCCAATTGGAGACAAACTACCTGAAAGCAGTATCTTACTTTTGGTGGAGCTGGCCTTTAAAGGTTTGTGTAGTCCAGCACTCAGCGAGCTCCCCAAGTCATATACACGTATATATACACGCAGTTTTTTCCATCTAACATATACACGCATAGTTTTGCTTGCCAAGAGCGGGTGCTCAGCCAGCACTGGAGTACATGAGACCGGCGATCTCATTCTGAACTTTCATAACAAACAGAAATGAGGAATATTTCCTAAGAGACAAATCGGGAAACATTTCAGCTTTACTCAATCTGCCCGGAGGGAGGACAGCAGACAGTACCGTGTGCCGCCTGCCAGGCTTTATGCAAATGGAGTTGTGCCTGGGAAGAGAAGGCTCACCTGTCTCGGGGTCACTGAAGTCTGGCAGAGTTATGTTGTTCAGCTGTCGGCGGTCAGCAATGGCTCTATCTAGTAAGCTGCTGCCCCGTCCCGAGTCACTGGAAGAACACATAAGACAATGTCATGCTGGTCATATAGTGTAGATGTATTTCAGTGTCACTGTGAATAATACCCTTCTATTAACAACGGGACTATAGTGGTGGTGGTGGGGGGCTCCCTTCAACATCCTTCACTGTTGTCACACACATGTGAATGACCTGCTGCAGGGAGACTATTGACCAGTACGAGTCACTGGCAATTATTTCACCCCGAGGACTAGTCTTTGGAGCTGCTGTCCAACTTGCCTCCAACCCCTGCATGCCAGCAGTGGCTGGTCCATCCCTACTAACTCCAGCTTTAATGCCTGACACGACAGAAGAAGAGTGGGGCAGCTTTGATTAAAGGGGATAGCACCGAAGACTGTGTGATGTATAGCAGTGGGATCAGCAATTTCATTTTTAGCCACTGCCATTTTTATGGCCCAAGCTGGAACTGGGCTTTTAGTGGGCAGTAGAGCCTCTGGCATTTCGGAGATTAATTGCAGGTGGACGCCTTAACAATGACAAGGCTTCAATCTCACCTTGAGCACAGCTATAGGCTCATTGTACAGCCTTTGGTGGGCCTAGGATTCAATGGGCCTCACAGGGACATAGGAAAGGCTCTGAAGACTAAAACTGGTTCCTGCATGCAGCAGAAGGTGCAGAACGTCCTTTCTGTTGGTACCTTAGAAATATTTAAGGCCAGGACAGGCTCTCTTTACAGGTTTACACAGTACACACTTGCTCCACATCAGATGCAGTGCTCCCTGCAGTTGTTACCTGGGGTTGGTGAGGTTGTAGCAAGACTTCCAGATCTGCAGCATATGTTTACAGCTCAGCAATGCCTCATCGGGCCCCCGACAAAGAGATTCCAGTTTCACCTTGGTGAATAGTAATCTGAAAAAGGAAAAAAAATGAAACATAAGCGTAAGCTCCTGCCTGAAAAATATAAATCTATAACATAAAAGGTTGCATACAACATCCTAAATGGTTTCCGAGGCATCTGAAGCGCCTGAGTTGCCCATAGCAGACACATATAATCCTGCTGTCATTATTTTTAGCCTAGGGGAAAAAACGCAGACTCTGCGAGCACTGCAACAGGCCTCATTAATAAAAGGGTCTATAATATGAACTGTATGAAGCCCACAGCCAGCGGATAAGATTCCTGCTCCAAAATATTCACACATCCAGCAGGGACAGTGAACGCCCCAACGCTGCAGAACACAACTCCTATGGAAGGTCGAGAATACACGGCTGACATAGATTTATGAAAATACTAAAATTAGTCACAACCAAAATCATTTCAGTGCTGCTCAGACGGAAATCAATTTCGTTCCCTCTGGACAAACACACTTTTTCTGATTTTAATTTACATTCTAAAAAAATAAAAATATTCATCAACACTTGGAGGCAGGTACAAGCCTGCGGGAACACAGCCAGACTTGAAAAAATATGTGTGATCCTTGCCGCCTGTATGGGAATGCCCCAGGGCCCGTGTAATTGTCATTCCTGCGCCTCGTCCGCCTCTGGATAAGAATCTTATTAGCAGCATGACTGGCGAATCGCAGGGCCTGGAGGAGAGGGGGTGGGTCCCACTACGCGCTCAGGGTGCCCCCGCTGATTCCAGACGTGCTACAATTACAAGGGAAGGGAGTGCACTTCATTGTAAGTTTTCTATTCTGCCTTGGTGCGTTCCCTCTGTTATCTCTATGATGGATGGAGTGTCACGTGCAGCACAGCTCAGAACTGCATTTAAAGGAGAACTATGAGGTGAGTGCTTTTCACTCACCTCATAGTTCTAGCCGACCTGTGACAATGAGACTGTCACAGGTCGGCTCAGTAGATCGGGAGGTGAGCGAACACATACCGGCGTTCGCTCACCTCTCGATCCTGTCACGGCTCTCTGCCGTGACAGGGGGAGGGGCTGGATTCCCCTCTCCGATCTGCCAGCGCTGACTGGCGGAACGGACGGGGGAGGGGGCGGGTACAGCTGGCTCTGCCTCTAGATAGGCAGAGCCAGCTGTCAGTCACGCAGCTGGGCGGATCCCGACGTCCATGTCAGGATCCGCTACGGCGTCTCAGTATACCGCGAGCTGTAGGCTCAGTATACTATACTCGCGGTATACTGAGCTTAGGGTAACGGGAGGACGCTAGTTTGTGTCCTCCCGTTACCCTAAGGAGAACTATGGGGAAAAACACTAACCCCATAGTTCTCCTTTAATTCACATTTTAAAACTGCAGCACTCATTGAAATAGTCCCTGGTGATCCCGCCAGGAAGGTCCTTGTTTAGGCACTTCCTGTTATGGAGTGATAACACTCTGTTCATGTGCTTCTGCGTTGTCATCCTGTCATAACGGCTTCAGAAGGAGTAACACACATTACATAGGCATTGTACAATGTTGTCACCATTAGTGATGGGCTCGGGCGTGTTCGCAGCTCCACGTGCCGAGCCCGCCAG